ACTTGCCCTTAGCTGACTCGTTAGAGTTAAAAATTACTCAAACTCCATTTGGATTAGCTACTGCACTGGCTAACTAGCATATTTGCTATATAAATGACATGCTAGCCAGCTGTTTTAAGTTGCTTCTTTACATTAAACAACTCATTTGCTACATATGGTGCTTCAGTTCTGTCTTTCAGACTGAAGGTTTTTTTCATAATGAAAGGCTCTTTATTTGAAGCCATGTTGAACCTTGCAGGTTCAGGTACAATGTACACTGTTAGAAATAAAGGTTCTATGCAGGTACATTTTTTGTTCATCAAGGTACAAATAATGTAAATGTTCCCTCAAAGGTACAACAGAGGTTTTAAGGTCTAATTGTGAACCTTAAATAAGTTTTTCCAGGTGAAAAGTTTGTATTTGTACCTTTTCATAACCTAATGTTTTAAAACAGAACAATAAAATAAAAAGCCTGGAGACCAGGCGGGGTGTGTGGAGTTAGTACTACTTAGAAAATATAATTCCAATGAATTATGGTGCAGTTATATTCCCTGACTAAAGGTACTGAGATGTACCCTTGAGGGTACCACCCCAGTGACAAGAGGGGGACTGCCCCAGTGATAGTTTACTACCTTTAATTCTGAGAGTGTAATACCTGCTGCTCATAACGAGACTAAACTACAGCTCTCTATCCAAAACTCGAGACTCACTCAGACTGAATCTACTTGTGAGCATCTCTGACATCAACATTGTTTTCTTTGTTTTACTTTTGTCAGTAATTGTGTTTATATATTTTATTCATGTTTGAATAATGTAAATATTTGAATAAGGTTTAACGCATCTGACCCTAAAATGTGACCTGAAATATATCTCTAACTATTTTACATAAAGGTCACATAACAGCAACCTAATATTGTTATTATTTGCTCAACAATATGATTCAAAATGCATATTTACTCTGAGGTCAGCTTGGTTGACATTACAGGGTCAGTTTTGCTCAATGCAGAGTCGAGTAAAGATGTGCTTAATCCACAAAGAGCTTAACTCCTGAACAAGGTTTTCATAAACTGTACGTACACTGCAAAAACAGATCTCTGGCAAGTGAAATTATCTTAAATGTAATCAATATATCTAATATTTCTCAATACCAGACAATCACAAGAATATTATTTAACCTGTTTCTAGTTTAAGTTAAAGGGCCCATATCATGAAAAACTGTATTTTCACCATTGTTTTGAAACAAGAGAGTTGTACTGTGATGTAGTACATAAACACTGTTGAAATATCATTCATACAGTCCATACAGTTCATATATGGAAACTGAGCTGCAAAAGCAGCCCATTTTGAACTCACTGTTTTTGTGATGTCATAAAAAATGCATTTGCATATATCTGCCTATTCAGCCTACAGCAGTTTAGCCTCTCTTTCACACTGAGGTATAAGGAGTGTTTCAGCTCTGACTGCTTTTTTAATAAGAAACAATACAAGACAGACAATCAGAACATAGCTCATTTACATATATCAGTTTTAAAGGCACAGTAACAAAAACAAGCTGTTTCATTCAGAATGGTCATGCAAAATGAATTAAATGGATTAAAAATACAGGAAGCAAATTATCTTCTTCTACCTGTTTTAAGCATTATTTCATAAAAAATAAGCAAAATGTCTTTTAATAAGAAATATTAGACACATTCAGAAAATTTAAGATGATTTCACTTGCCAAGATCATCATATTTAAGTTTTTTAATTAGCATTTTTTATTGCAATAGTGACATGGGCAGGCCACACCCCTTTTTTGTAGTGCTGTGTCATAGAGTCACCTAGGGTGGGTGTGGTTAAGCAAAATAGTTTTTAAACCACTTCTATTTTGCTTTAATGTGGAAAATAACACAAACAAACTCTATTTGAACTGTTCTTTCCTTTAAATGGCCCATATCCTATATTTTCTCTTTTATAATATTTCTGTACTTTTGTTTTTATATGTTTTATTATGACTATTTTAGCTGTGTTAATGGACCTTTAAGACTGATATATGTAAATGAGCTGTGTTCTCATTGGCTGCACTGTATTGGGCTTCATTCAAAAAGCAGTCCAGGCTGAAATACTTGCAACTCCAGAGATGTTGGGTGGAGCTAAACTGCTTTAGACTGAAATTCATACTGTCCTTATATGGACTGTATTCAGAAACTTCAGCAATGTTTACACACTAAATCCAAGTTTTATTTTAAAAAGTGAGGAACATTTCGTTCTCCTTTAAATGGGCCCTTTAAGATTAGACAATAAGCTGTGTATAAAGATAATTTATGTTGTCTGTTGGGCTGTTTTCATTTTTATTTAGAACTTTAGAGCCATGCCACTGTGAGAAACAGAATGCATGATGATTATCAGCACACTGTCCGTCCAGCTGCGTGTTGAAATAAAATAGAAATAAAATAGCCACTGATTATGGAGTAATGATGGAAATTTAAACCCATCCTCAGTTTCTCTTCATCTGTTTGTCTCCCTGCAGGCTGACAGCACTGCTTTTCAGCGCGAGTAATACTAGCACAACATTAGGGGCTTTTTAGAGACCCTGCTGAGAGTCAGCGTCCACTGCGTATGTGTGTGTCAGTGTTTTGCCAACATTACTGTACTTTGGGAGTCGTCATCCAGGCCCGCTCTCAGAGGCCTCAGTCTACAGCCTCAAAAAACAATCAAATACATGTCTCTAAGGGGAATTCCACCAATGTCTCTAAATTTCTGCACTTAAACAAATTGACATATTGGGAAAAAATAAAACACAAAATATGGCCTGTGCAAAAGTTATGACATGTTATATTTGTTCCAGTATGTTCCAGAACTATTTTTTAAAAAATTGCCTTAAAATCATTTAAGTGTGTTCTCTGTGGAGGGTGTGCTAACTTATTTTCACTGAGAAAATCAACAAAATGCGGAACCTCTCCACTTCTGCATATCTGTGTTGTAGTCATGGTGACCCCTAGTTCTTATCACCACCACTGGATCGTTAGTCTCTCTGCAATGAACCATTTCACACCAAACCACTCTGAGTGACGTACAGCTCAACCACTGAATTACACAGAAATTTTGAGAAACTGATGGAGCTACACTTACAAACCGCAAACTCCTCTGCATCTCAGTTACGTGAGTTAAAATCAAAGTTTAGTTTCAGTACTTAGTTCAGTTCACTAAACTTTGTTTTTGTGACTGTGTTCATTACAAAGCTGCTGGCGCATCAGTGAAATAAAAAGAAACAATGTTTGGAGATGTAAAAAGACAGGATTTTAATTAAGAGAAAGATAACACTCAAGTCTCCTTCCTCTTCCATCTTCTTCTCTATGCCTCTCCCCCCCTCTTGCTCTTATTCCTGTTTTCTTTTACCTTTTACCCTTATTTGCTCCTTCACTCCATCTCTTTCTCACTCTATCTCTTCTTCTGTCTTTGCTCTCTCTTCACCCCTTCACTCCATTTCACCTCCCTTTTCTTTCTGCCTTCACTCCATCCATCTCTAACCTCCTTCTCACTTTCTCCATTCCTCTCTCTCTCTCTCTCTCTCTCTCTCTCTGCTGCATCGACCTCCGCCCCTCTGGCTTCTCTGTTTCCATTAAACCCCCCAGAGCACAGAACCCCCCCAACCACCACCACCACACAGACACACACACACACACACACACACACACACTGTCAATAGAGTGACAGATCAATGCTGAGGTAGTGGATGTTGTTATTGTTGCAGAGAGCAAGAAAGAGAAGGAGAAATAGAAAGAGAGAAATAGACAGACAGAGCAGCAGGGCAGCAGGAGTACTCTCTCTCTCTCGCCCTCTCTCTCAGTGGGGTGTGCACCTCCCTCAGCTACTCACACTCATTAGCCAGCAAAGCATGGCAATGAACATGCTACACCCAGTGCCATGTGACTACACTCTGACCCTCTCTCTCTCTCTCTCTCTCTCTTTCAGTGTTACCATGATATGAAGGTATAATCAGGAATATGAAACCCTTTTGATCTCAGCGACCACTGACAGTTCATATGTGTCCAATTCAAACACATTTGATACCATCAACAACTAAGAACTGTCAAATCTTCACCTTCACCAGTATAATCAACACCAAACAACCCTACCAATACATTAACACCATACACACCATCAACACAGCTGATACCAACATCACAATAATATCATCTCCAACAAAACCATAATGACATGAACACCGTACACACTGTCAAATATCACTAACACCTTCAACTTTATCAGCACCACCAACTAACTCCAACACTGTCAACCATGAACATCAACGCCAGCATGATCAACACTATTAAGATCAACAGTTCTATCTAACAATATCAACATCTTTACCGCCATAAACCCTTTCAACTCCAAGAACACTGTCAATTCCATGAACACCATAAACACCAACAACACTATCAACACTACTGACACCAACAATTCTATTAAACACCATCATGAAGACCATCTACACTATCAGTATGATCAACATCAATGGCACTACCAACACCATCAACACTACAAACATCATCAACTCCAACAACACATTATTTACAGTCAACACCAAAAACACTATCAATACTACTGACACCAGCAATGCTAATAAAGACGATCACCTTCATGGAGACCATCAACACCAGCCACACTATCACCACCATCAATATGAGCAACATTATCAACACTATAGCCACCAACAATATCATTAAACACCATCACCATCTTGAAGACCAACAACACTATCAAAACCATCGACATCAACTCCAACAACCCTGTCAATTCCATCAACACCGCCAACACACAACAAACGCCGCCACCTCTGCCAACACCGTCAGCCCTCGTCTCTGAACATCACCTCCTTCGCCATGGAGGAAAACAGCATCCTTCCCCTCCAGACGCTGAAACCCTCCAGAGCCTGGAGCACACCGAGGGCACTCTACCCCGGCTCAGACGGCAGGGGAAGGCAGTGTGCGTGGGCCTGTATGTGGAGAAGAACAGCGAAAAACAAAGGGCGGCCTCACCGTTTCGGTGTGTTTTCCGTCCATTCAGTGGCAGCACCGCAGCCCAGCCTTCAGCCAGAGAGGAGGACTGACCGAGCCTCGAATCTCCAACATCCTCAGATCTCTCTCCCTCTCTCTCTCTCCCTCTCTCTCTCACACACACAGACACACTCATTCACAAAGCACTCTTCTCTTTCTGTCTTTCTCTGTCCGCCTGTTTCTGTCGGCGTTCTATTTCCTCTCTTGTTAGCTCCAAGGCAGTTAAGAGACACTGCAGCGATGGGGGGAGGAGGAGGGCGTGTGAGTGTGTGTGTGTGTGTGTGTGTGTGTGTGTATGTGTGCACGCTTGCGTAGTGCTATGTGTGTGTGTGTGTACAAGCAAAAGAGAGAGAGAGACAGAGAGGGCGTGCGGGAGAGAAACCGAGGGAGGAGTCAGGCAGGGATAGAAAGAAGGAGAAGGGGGGAAAACAGTCAGGATTAAACCATGAGAAAAACAGAGTGAGAAAGGAGAGAGAGAGAGAAAGGAAAGAAAAGAGAGTAGAGAAAGCTGCCTCCAGAAAAACACAAGGGTGAAATGGGAGTAGGGGGAAGATGGAGGACTGCGCGCCTGTGTTTACAGATGTACGGCGGCCCTGCTGTTTCTCTCTCCACGCCAGGCTTGGTTGTGATTTCATTGATGGCTGAAAGAGCATGTTAGAGAGAGAGAGATGGAGAGAGAGACACAGAGAGAGAGAGAGAGAGAGAGAGAGAGAGAGAGCAGAAGGGGAGGGTGAACGGTGCATGTCAGCAGGCTGGGGGTTGGATATCGGTATAATTTGTTGTTTCCGTGCCAACTGGTCCTGCGTCTGAAGCAGCACTTCCTTTGCAGGCGTTGGTTCCTCTTCGTCTGTTTGCCAACATCGAACCTCCTCCTCCTCCATCGAACAGAACGCTTCATAGGTGTGTGGAGGGGTCTAACTGGCCCCCTGTGGACCACTCTCTTAGGGATGGGCGTGGCAAATACACTGATGTCTGAGCTAGAGGTCTGCACAGATGTGAATTTGAAGCCGAACACGACCCGTACCCGCAAATTTGAAGCCTGGCCCGGATAGGGCCGAGTGGTACTGATCTATTTGAGACCCGAAGCCACACAGGTTTGAAGTTGGCTTCTTATTAGCCAGCATCTTATTCAGAACTTACACTTAACCTTGAATGGTGCTGCCGTTCCATTACACCAGTGCCATTTAAGGTGAATCTGAACATTAAAATATGAATCTAATATGTTAAATGGTGTAGCAGTTTCATTCTACCAGTGCCATTTAAGGTGGAACATTCAAATATGAAGCTAATATGTTCAGTTCAATTCTGCCAGCGCCATTTAAGGTGGAACATTCAAATATGAAGCAAATATATGTCAAATGGTGCAGCAGTTTTATTCTGCTAGTGTCATTTAAGGTGGAGCTGAACATTCAAGTATGAAGCTTCATTTCATGTTCAGTTCCAATTCTAAGAGATGGGAGTCAATTCCACACAAAAATTGTCTTAATCCTAAATTCCAGAAATTCAATGGTTATTTAACTGGAAGGGTTAAAGTGTGAATCTGGTTAAAAGAACAATATGTAAGATGACGCAACCTATCGAATTTATACTCCACACAGTCCCTCCTCCTCCCTCTTCACTCCTCTCCCTGTTTACTTACCAGTCTAGAAGAAATGCTGCAAGCTCAGCATCAAACTTCATCCCTTTACTTGCCAAGAGTTCCAGTCTCCAGTGGTCGAAAGCAGAGATAATGCTAACTCTTGTTCCACTTCTATTTTTGTCACTTCATTTTCTTTGTGGTTTCTTGCCAGAAGCGGGTGTTCCACTTCTTCTGCTACTATCTTCTTACATTGAACTGATGGTAGACCCAACACTACAATGACTCACTGTCGCCTCTTGCGGTACAAAGTGGTATTACGAGACAGGTCAGGCCATGCATGTTAACTTCAGTAAATATCTCCGCAAAACAGTACATAGATGTCTTTGACACAATGTCAAAACTGTTATTTCTTCACATTCTGTTGTTATTTTAGTTCATTTTGAATGTTTTGAACTAAACATTTAAGAAATCGCTGCTTTAAAGCTTGCCATAAAGTAATATGCAAACGTTTGGGCACACCTGGCCAAATTATGGTGTGTTGATTTTCTAAGTGTAAACAAGGCTACATATTTCTACATTTTAATGCACAATTACTGGCTGTTGAATTTAATTCATTAGAAAAAAAATGACAAATGTGAAAACAAATGTGGCATGTGTAAAAGTTATGGCACATTGTACATTTTAAACAAATAAATGGTGTGCAGGACTGAAATGTGCAAAAAAAATGGCATATTTAAATGTGTTCTCTAAATATGATATTTTAACTTCTTTTTACTTTGGAAGTCAAGATAATATGTATTTTGACTGGGGGAGGTTAAAGTTTTTCATGCAACTGCACACTGCAATTTTGGCCCATTTTAAACCCAGTTTTGGTCGTCTGCATTTGCGAAAGCAATATAATACAATGTATATGCCAATTTGTTTTGTTAGATTTGTATTTTAAGATTTGTGTCTTTTTTATAATAGGCTGTAGACAGACCATATTGTCTGCCATGTCCTAGTCTTTTAGTTTCATTGCATATTGTGGCACAAGTTAGTAAAGCTGTTGTTAAAAGGCTTAGCTGACAGTATTGATGGTGCGATGTTCTACTGTGCGGTATGGTTTGCGCAAACATGATCTGCATGGGTGAGTCATCAGAAGGAAACCTTCTCATCACAAAAGGCAATGCCTGAAATATGCAAAACCAAATAGAGATAAAGCAGACGCATTTTGGAAAGAGCTGTAGACTGGTTATTAAAAATGGAACCCTTCAAGGATATATTTGGAGAAAATAAAAGAAGCATTTGATTAAAAAAAAAAACAATTTGCTGTCTGTTAAGCATGGGAGTGCATCTGTGGATCTGTAGAGGTTTTGGGGTTGTGTGGCAGGCTTTGGCACGGAAAACATAGCACAAATAGATGGAAGTATGAATTCCACTAAAATCAGGAAATTCTGGAAGCAAATATGGCACAAGTCACAGTCAATTAACTGAAGCTAAAAACAGGACAATGATCCAAAACATACCTCAAAATCCACTATGAACCTTTTCTAGAAACACAAGCTGAGGCTTTTGGAATGGCCCTCAAAGTCCCCTGAACTTCATGAAAATCTGTAGGTAGATCTTACACGTGCTGTACATGCACAGCTGAAGAATATTGCAGAACTAGAAAGCAAGAAAGAGTGGGTGAAAATTCCTAAAACAAGAGAAGAAAGACTCCTACACTCTTAAAAAAGATGTTTTTTCAAGGGTTCTTAGTAAAGAAAATGTTTCTATAGAACCATGAAAACTCAAAGTACCCTTTTTTGATTAAAGGGGTTTTTTGCATGGTGAAAGCGTTCTTCAGATTGTGCTATAGATGGTTCTATATAGAACCTTTTCAAAAAGGGTTCTATACAGCACCAAAAATGTGCCTTATTGGTGTTGTACAGTTAGAATTACTACGTACAAAGTGGCATAATCAAATATAAAGTAACTCATTTTTTGTGCAGTTTGCTGCACATGTTGTGTTCACTTATTTTACTTAGACATAATCAACAAAATATGTAATTTGGCTCAAACTTTTGCACAGAACTTTTTATGGAGGCCTAAATAGCTGAATTCACTTTGATTTTATTTGTACAGTGATTTCTACAACAATCACTGTTCCAAAGCAGCTTTCCAGAAAAGCATGTGCAGATCACTGGGTTTCTGAGAAAGGAAGAGGCACGAGGACGGAACCGACTTCTTCTCTGTTCAGGGTTCACCATAAGTCAACAAAATTGGACTGCAAAACATTTTAATTACTATTATACATTACATGTGTTTTGCATTTAGGAATTTTATTCAATGATTAGATTCTAAAATCAATAAAATAACCTTGCAGTCTCCATAGACAAAAACTGAAATGGGATGTGCTGAAGAGCTCAATGACTTTAAACGTCGCACTATCATAGGGTGTCCTCTTTTACCTTGATAGATCTGCAGCGGTTTAATGTAAGTGCTATTATTGTGAAATCTCACGATAGAATTGAAAAATTAAGTTATATGCATCAGAGCTGCAAATACAGTGAGCTGGGCAGGTCTGTAGATGGAAAAACCCAGGCTACAAGGGTAAAACAGAATGCTTAAAGCTAAAATTTGACTCCAGTATTTTTCTTCAATCAAAGATGAGTCATGATACATTCTGAATTGTGTTCAAATTTCCAGTTTTATCTGAATTTTCTCTCTAGAGCCAGATTTTATCTTCAGTTCAAAAAAGTATTCTATGAAGAAGGTCTTCCACAAACTGAGCGTTTGAGGGTGCCAGCCGTGCTGAGTTTGTGTGATACACTCCTTTTCAGTCAGCGTTCTCTAAGCTCAAAATAACAAAATCTCTGAAGGTACATCCAGACCTGAGCTCTGAGGGCAGCACGTTACAGTTTGAGAAATCCAGGACATTCCACTGCTCACATCAAAGAACTCCAAACACTCAGGTGTGGTGCAGATCGCCAAACAGCGCGATCAGAAATTGACTTAAATATAGAAGAAAGTGAAAGTTTAGTTTTTAATTAGGAACAAAGTCAATTTGCAGCAAACTATTTTATTTTATTCTGCTCTGTTCTACTCTCAAACCTAGCTTAGTTTTTTGGCATGGGTTGTTATGCATGTACAGTTTCTAAACTAATATATATATATATATATATATATATATATATATATATAACCTGTCTGTGAATGTGGCCCCAAATAAATGACAACAATTGCATAATTGTTCTCAATCCTATACACCAATTTCGCCAGAATAATGGCCAGAATATCTAATAAAAATTATCCTTATCTCCTCACAAAATGGGCTATGTTTTATTTTTGAAAAGTAAAAATAGTGTGGAGAACTTAATCACTTCATTCAAGAGCTGAAACGTAAGCTATAACTCGGATGTTTGTAGCCCAGTTTTAGCCCCAATTGAGCTGCTTTTGGAGATTCATATCATTTTGACAATTGCGAAAGGGTTCCAATTGGAGAGACCCAGCTGACCTATCATTTTGTTTGTTGCCATGCCAACACTAGAAATGGCCATCACTGCTCAGAAAGTTGGCAAAAGTTCTACAAACTTAAACAGAGGGCCAAAAGAATAATGTTGCATTTTCACTGTCTATGAAATGATGTTTGCAATATATAATTAGTACTCGAACTAATTTATTGTCATTAGAATTAAGGGCCTTATGGGTGAGTGATATAGCCAAAATATAAAATCCTTATCCTGGACATTTTTACAAGACACA